CCGCGGAAGCTGCGGCCGGCTTGGACCCTGGCGCCCGCCAGTCTCCCTGCCGAGAGCCCTCACGAGCACCGCGCAGCCCCTCCTCGGAAGCGGGGACTCCCAGGGGCGCTCTCGGGTATCTAGTGATCCACGGCTTGGGGTGAGGGTAGGGACTATGTTTCTGCGCGGAGGCTCACACTGATTCAGAGCATCATGCATGACGAAAGCGAAGAAGGACCGTGAGATGGAAAGATAAGGCCGAGCTACAGCGGCCAATGCGAGGGCGCGGCGGACTGATGGGCGGGGCGGGCGGCCATTCACTACGAGGCCGCGCCTCCTCCCCGCCCCGCCGCGCGTCTCGGCGGCAGAAGAGGCGGGACTCTCCGAGCTAGAGGCCGCGAGAAGCAGTGGGAGGGCATGGGCTTTGGGATTTTATTCTCAGGTTTGTGTGGTCGCCCGAGCGTAGTCTTTGCCTCCGTCGTATCTGAGTTCCTAGGGCCTGCCCTCAGTGCTGAGTGTTGCGAACGTGCATCCCAGGCCCGGAGGTTGTCATTTTAAGGGCAGGGAAAACCGAGGCCTGCTGGAACTCACGCTGTACCTTTGACTTGCTGCAGTTGTCTTTGCCTGCCTTAGTCTTAGTTTCCTCATCTGTAAAATGGAATTTGGGTCTGAGGTCACTCAACCGGATTTGGACAGGACCGGCTGGACTTGGGCAGGACTGGGCCCGAGGGCCTTGTCCATCTTAGTAGTCTGTGTCAAAAGGTCAAAAGCTCCCCCCATGACAAGGGGCTCTACAGCTCTTGAGAACCACAGACTGATAATAATCATAACAAATGAGAAAAACACAACCTTCCATGGCTCCCCAGGACCATCAGAGGAAACTCTACACTCCTTGGCAGGCTGGGAAGTGGCACTGACCTGTGATGGGGGGGTGTTCCACATTGAGGGATAGGAAGAGCATTCCAGGTTAGAGACCACCGTTCAGTGCCACTCCTACCAAGAGCTCACTCCAAGGAAGGGAGAGAGAAACATGGGGTGTCCCTGGAGAGGCAGTTAATATCCAAGGGAGAGGGGGTCCCAGGGAACCATCTGTGAAAGCCACCAGCCCCTCCTACTGTGCCTCAACTGGGTTGCCCCTAACTTGGACCCTTCCTGGCTCAGCGTCCCACACCTGCTTCAGGCCTGTGACCTTGGGCCTCAGTTTACCCTTCAGGAAAATGGAAGGACAGGCCCAGCAATGGGCACAGAGGGAGCCCTACAGCTCACATTTTTATCCCTCACCCTCTGAAGGACCTGGGTCTGGAGTGAGCAACGCCAATACCACCAAGAGCCCCTCTGCCCCATTCCTTCCTGCGGCCCCGCCCTGACCCCTCAGGACTGGGAGTGTGGGTGCCCACCATGGCTCCCCTTGGAGGCTAGCCTTGTGCTTCATCCTGTGGGAGCCAGGCCCTGGGGAGCCCTGATGCCCGGTGTCCTCAGAGGGACTCAGCACGCGCACTGACCAGGTGAAATCATATGTTCCCAGGCCAGCAGTGATGGAGTGTCGATGGCTGGGCGTTGGGTGTTGGGACACCATGGTGACAGAACTGGATCCAGCAGGTAATGGGCCATCAGAGCTCACGTTTAGCTCCGAACGTGGTTCTTTCCAGCCACAAGATTGGCTGTCATAGTCATGCTTCCAAGTGATTAAACCCATTGCACAGGTGAGGAGCCTGACGTTCAGAGAGGCATCGTGGTGCTCACACCTGCCACAGGGCTCTCCTGGCACCCACAAGCCACCATTGTCTTCCCTAAGGAGGCCCTGCTTGGGGATGAGTCACCGGGCGGTGCAGTCGGGAGGGGGGCCCTCTTGGCCGCCACCTCTGCCTGGCCCTGAGGCCTGGGCGTGCCCTCCAGGGCCCTGGCGCGGGGACAGGATGCCAGCGGCTGGTGCCAGGGGCCCCTTGAGGGCGGCCTGCAGCCTGCCCACCCCCTCCCGCCTGACTGTGGCCTTTGTTCTCCTCTGGGTGCCCGTGGGGGCTGCAGCCGAGCTGAGACCTGTCTCCTGGGCTGCTTCCTCCTGAATCCAAGCCGTGCCTACCATGCAGAGGGCCCAAGGCAGGGCTCCAACAGACAGGGCAAGAAACCCGCTTCCCACGGGGAAAAGCTGAGCCTAGAGAGCCCTGGTGGCACAATGGCTAAGTATTTGGTTGCTAAGAGAAAGGAAGATCAGGGGTTCAAACCCCCACCACTCTGCAGAAGGAAGAGCTGGTGAACTCCATAAAGATGACAGCTTAGGAAGCCCCATGGGCAGTCATACTCTGTCACGTGGGGTCGCGAGGAGTCGGAATGCACTGGACGGCACCCACAACAACACACCAAAGACTGAACACGGGGATAGTGGTGGGGGGTTCCACACAGTAGGTACGCAGGCCCTGCAGTCCACAGAACGGACACCTATTTCTAATGCTGCCACAGTGGGTGCTTTTGACCTCTCCCGAGTGTGGGCAGGCCCCTAACCCCACTTCTGCCTCCTCGTCTGAAGCCCCCACAGGAGGA